CCTATAATTTTCTAATTAATGTCCTTTCAATTTTCGTATATGTACTAAATTCCCGAGAAAATTCAGGAAAAAAAGTTATAAAGAAAATAAAAATGTTTTGAAGCCTAACTTGCTATACAATTTTGAAAGGTGATTACATTTCCAACAAAACAAAAAAAGATTCATCGGAATCGAACCATTATTGGCGATGATACCGCATATTATATTTTCTACACATGTTTTAATTTATTACTTTCTTACCTATACTAGATAAGGAAAGTATTTTCCGGTGAAGGCGAATTTCCGATGTGCGGTTTTCGACGGATCTGTACGTTTCAGAGTCGCGAAAAACTTTACAGCCTGTTTTTTTTTTTTGAAAGGAATGAAATTCACTACAAAACTGTATTGAAATCGTTTATTTCGCACAACTATTAACAAAGTTTAAGCTATTCAATTTCGTATGTAAGATTATGAGTTCAAATTCTGTTTCCAGAAAGGTGTGAAAGAAAGAAAAATAAAACAAGAAAAGTGAGTAAAAGTAAAAAATTCTGGTGCCCGCCTCATACAATTTACACTTTTCCCTATACTTTTAACAGAAATTATTATCTACCAAATTTAATTATGAAAAAGAGTTTGTGATTGGCAATACTAGAATGTATTGAATTTTACTCTGATCTTCTACAAGCCGGCTTACATTGCTTTAGTTTATCAAAGAAGTCGTACTCAAATCTTTTCTTTCGTCATTATTTCTTTTATTATTTTAATTTTTTTTTGTTTATTGTTTTGTAAAGATTTTAAGATATAAAAGCTTTTCTGAAATCGGTAGGAAAATCGTGTGAGTCGACACACCAGATTTTTTTATTTTTCGTTTGTATCTTCTATATATATATACTACTATAACTCACTACATCGCTGATGTCATCTTATAAATTCTTTGATTTCTCTATTAGAAAACTGGTATTTAATATCCAATAATATTTCATTTACTTTATTTTTTACTTTTTACCAATGAATATTTTGTATCCCTGATGAAGTAGGTGACAAAGTGGGTGGAAATGTCGGCGTAACCAATACGATTATAATATATAGCATTTAATTTGACCGCACCACTGAATAACTCTTTCTCATGTGATAGGTACAGTATACATATATTAATTGACAGTTGAGAAAATATAAACCGAAACATTTTTATTTTAAAAATTGCATTGATTCTTGACTTCCGATTGTGAGACCGTGAAGTTTACCATCCTCTACTTTGGAAAATCCCAATGCCTGGAAGAAAGTTCTTAGGATAGCTAGTTAGCGGAACATAACACCGACTGCTCCACTTCTGGAAAACGATAGTCAATTCAGGATAGTCATCTGGGAGATCATTCGGGGAGTCATTTCGTGAAGAAGCTATGGCAGCTATACTTCGAATTGAACAAACAGGTTAGTTGGTACTCAGTTTACGCAAAATTTGATGCTCTACAACTTTGACTCAATGGGTTGTTACTTTAAGGGAACTCATTACCAAGTTACAGGGCCATTTATAGTAATTTGTCACTAAGTAATGAAGATAAACGTGATTTTCAATATTTCAACAGTATGGGTCTCTATTCTACTGAGTTATTTTTGTTTATTGTTACATGCAGTATTAGCCTCTTTTTCACCTCTCAACAGCAAAGGATTTTAGTAAACGATGTGTCGAAAGATACAGAATTTTATAAAGGAATAACGAATCCCGATTCGAGATATATAATTGCCCTACAATAAAAATGTCAGTACCCAGTTTACGCAAAATTTGATGCTCTACAACTTTGACTCAATGGGTTGTTCCTTAGGGAACTCATTACCAAGTTACAGGGCCATTTATAGTAATTTGTCACAGTTTTAGACAAATTTGGTAAAAATTAGCGTTGGTTGATTTTGGTTTTATACCTTACTGCGTAACCAAATTATATGTACTCATTTGACGCAAAATGTATCTTTCTTTAATATTTTAGAGACTATATTGTTCTATTTGATGCATTGTTTAATAGTAATAGGTGAAATAACAAAAAGATATTTAAAAAACTGACTTTTTTACTGTAAAAAAATTTTCCCTGGTGTCCCGCGTTTGTTTTTTTTTTTTGGAGGGTCCTCCCCTTCCTCGCCGTTATGGGCGGGAATTTAAAAGACGCCTCGGCTCCGGGACGCGAACTCATGACTATTTTTGTATCATTTATCATTATATCAGGTTGCCGGGAAACGGTTGTACTGTGTACAATGCGTTAGCCCATTCGGTCACCCCGCCCACTGAAATAATATACATGAAACCAGTCTTGAACCAGGCTTAATCACAAAAGAAGTCTACCATGCTAGCCGCTAGAATATAGAAAAATATTGGTGGCCCGCGTTAGCAATTTTGTTTTTTACATGTCTAAATCCATATATACAATTTAAAAAAATAAAAACTTTTCTCACATTTTTCGCAATGGATTATCCGTTTCCATCCTCAAATTGCAGTTCTAATATTCTTCAAATCAGCCGCCATTTTTTAAAGCAGCGGCTCTCTAACAGCAGACAAGATTCTTTTTACTCAGAATAACATAAACGTTTGTAATTTACAACCAAACCTTCACCTGCGATCATGTCAATGGTTGGATTGAGATAAGGCTGATCTGGAGGGGATGGTTTTGGACAGCGACCAATGGAAGGAGGTGTGTAGACAGAGATTGGTAGTGTCGGCATAGAACCTTCAGGTTCGCTAAGCCTTTTGTTACAATAGTTTTATTCTGGTTCTTAATAATTACTCTCCAAGTTTCTGGTAACTATAGCAATATGAATTTCGATCCTGAAGAATAACGGAATGTTGCAGGAAAAATTATTATTATGGTGCTCAAAAATAACTTTGTAAGATTATTATTACTAAAGTGGCTTGGATGAACTTAGGGATATTATTATCTGTACGTAATTTTTTTTAGACGCAGCATCGCCTAAATAAACTACACTAATGCCTGCTTAATCAGATCTGCAAACAGCCTGGTTAGCTAATTAGTCTGGCCATAAGACCAACACTAATATTCAGCTCGCGGGGCCTGGTCACTCACCTCCAACAGTTAATGAGTGGTCATCAGCATGCACTCAGCCTGGTGGCAGACCGAGTGAGAAAAATATACAGCACCATCTACATTAAGTGTCTAGATATACAGGAGATATACTTTCTGGGGTGCCTACTGTTTAAATAAAAAATATTTTAGATCTAAGAAGAGAGTCAGAAGCACCAATCTAGCACAATCAGAGTGCTCTATTACGAACGTAATGGGTTTGATTCCCACCTGGGTCGGTTTAAATTTTAATTTTTCAGCAGCCCCGGGAAATGGATCTTGACATTCCCACTCTGGTAGGTACGCGGCGGCAACTTCAAGGAAGCCGTTATATTTTTTTTCTCTTTTAACAGCAATGTTTTCGTCTAAAACACCTTTTTTTTTTTATGAGAAGGAGTTAATCGGAGGGAGTGCGGTCAAATAAATACTAAATTATACAAATAGTATTATTTAATTTTTTTGCCGACGTTTCGACCCACTTTGCAGGTCTTCATCAGAACTACAAAAGACACAAAAGAAGTGAAAATAAAATAAATGAATATAAGTAGAGATAAAATAAGTTGCCTGATAAAGAAATAAAAAGATGATATCAGAGATATAGTGGGTGACAATGAAGTTAATTATAAAGTATTGTATGTATGGAAGATAAAAAAAAAAAAGGAAAATAAGTATGAATAAAAATAGAAAACAAAGGAGAATATAGCATGTGAGTTAAAAGTAAACAGATTGCGATTAGTGTTGTCCAAAATCGGTCTTGGTCTTGCACTTTGCAAGACCGATACTAAAGCCGCCTAACTGTTGCAAGACCAGGACCAGGACTGGTAAAAAAATTTATTTTTTAAATAAAAATTAAGGCAAAATAGTTACTAATACTCGACAATTTGAGTTATTATATGTTAATAATTGATATAACCAATGTACTTTTGCATTTAACTCCTCTAATTTTTCGTTCGGGCTTAGTTAGCTTTCTCATATCTAAAATATCTCTATAGTAATAAGCTAATAAGTAACTGCAAGACTGTTGGGAGACTGTTGCGCAAGACCAAGACCAAGACTGAGTTTGGAAGACCAAGACTCGTCTCGGTCTCGCATTTGGGCAACACTAATTGCGATAAAAGATAAGGAATGATGAGTATATAACAAACTAATAAAGATTACATTTGGTAACTGTAGGTTAATAGATAAAGAATGAATTTTAACGAATAAAGAGATTTAACATTGAATAATTATAGATAACGTAAAGCTAAAATAAGAATAAGATAACATAATAATAAGATATCAGTGGATAACAAGCTAGTGGAGGTTACCTTTAATTGTAGGTAAACAGATAACGGGACTAAAGGTTAAGAAATAAAGCAATTGAAAGATTAATAGGATAACATTAGTTGTAATATCGTTAGGATAGATTATTAAGTACGAATAACTATATTAAAAAAAGAAAAGTAAAAATAAAATAAATTTTTTTTTTTAAATAAATAGACAGTCAACCACCTTTACATCAACTTTTTTTTTTAGAATTTATATACTATTATATATTAATGACCTGTTCCTCTTATAATACTAAATTTTCTCATAGATTTCGTTCCACTTTTATCCTACTCTAGAATGATGCATTAATGACATAATGTTTTTGTACTAAACGTATTATAAATTAACTTTGTTTTAAAACTTGATGTCAAATATTTGTGTTGATTGCGTTCCAAGTTGCGCATACTATAATAATCATAAATCGTCAAAAACTCATTAACGAAGCCACTTCGACTATGAGACGTCAAGAATCGATTCGAAGATTTGCTTAAAAAATATCGATTATTTCCCTGTGGCCATCTTCTATTCAGAGTGTTTAGTTTTTTTACGATGAGAAAGTGATCTGGGAGCGGGACTTCTTTATCAAGTCTTCCATCTTCTATGGATTGAACAACGTCAATGTTTTTGCAAATTTAGTCAATTTTTCTAAAAGCGATGACTGAATAAAATATCATGAAAGGTCGGAAAGTAAAAAGTTAACGACATTATCAAGGTTTCTCTTTGCCAGATTGTTTTCACAGCGTCTTCTTTGTTTTCTTTAACAGACTCTGGGGATAACCCTTCTTCATTGTACCTAAAACAATTTTAGTTTTCAGATATAACAAATTACTTATATATTATTTATTACTAGTAGGCCCGCGCGAAAAATTCGCACAGCATATTGTTATCCAATGCCAAATTAATAAGAAAATGCAACTTATCAAAACATTAAGACATCAAATGTAAACTTTATCGATAAATATAATCCAAAAAGGAAACAAAAATTAATTTAAATCTTCATTTTTGTTTGGAACCAACATGTATACAAATTTCAGTAAGCTGTATATTTGCTAAAAATTGTCCAATTGCGATGATTTTTTTTCCTTTTGTAGGGAATTTAGTAATCTTTTATATAACTAAGGGAAAAGTGTGTAATTTTTCAGTTATTCGCAAATAAAGTTTATTTTCATACATAACTTGTTTGCCTGAATTTTCTGGGTGATTGGACTATTTTGCCAGCCTGAAGGAGAAGGAAACCTTCGAAATTGGTGGCTCAATCTTGAGATTTGGTGAAAAATTAACGATGATATGGCTTGCCAATCAAAAACACCATCGATGAATAATATAAACTCCCCCTCTCTCGATCATAGAGACCTCAAGTCGACGAAATGAGACATGTATTCAATGCCAGTACTACAATTAACGTCAGGTTGTGTGGATGCGAACGCTATGCCTTTCGTTATCTCGAAAATAGTACGTTTTTCGACTTAAAAACGCAGGATCCGATAGTTCCGAGGGAACTATTCGGGTCTTGCTGTACGCATCAAAATTTTTAAGATCCAATTTGTCCCGTATCGATCTACAGACCTACCACCATTCCAGTATCGAAGCCTAGCAAAATGTTTGTATCGGCTTTATTTATTTTAGAAAGAAAAACAAAAGTGGAGAATACGATTCGCTAACCCCCCGTGAAATTCTGAATCCAACGGTACCCCATACATGGTATTTGAGCATTGACAGGAGCTTATATTTGGTACAAAACCGATTTCGAGCCTTACTGTAATAATATATGTACGGAATGTACGGATACGGATAATATATTTTAAATATATTATATAAATGCTTTTCTTTCTTATGAATTTGTAATATTCATGTCTAAAAAATTATACTAATTTAATTATTGTTTTCATTTAATATCAACCGCCATGACGCTTATAAAGACCATAATCTATCCAGTGAAAGAGAAATGTGTAGTAAGAAAGAACATAACTAGTAAAGAAGAGAACAATAAGACTGAAGTTTGGGGGTTCCAGGATATTAGCTATATGGAGCAAGGAACAGCGAGCTATCCACTGTTAGAAAGTGTTTACACTGTCGTTCTCTAACGAATAGGTCATTTGTCAAACCTCTGTGACTTTGTTTTTGTTTACCTCAGTTTTATTTTTATTATATGGTCAGATAATTTTCGTGGGTTTTTTAGAAAGGCTGCCAATTTTCGGCATGATTACGAACTGCAACAGACCAATGAACAATAAAAGTTTTAAAATATTAATTATTTAAAAAAAAAAAACTAAGGTCAATGCTTTAACCACAATATCAAATTGAAAACATCTGACGGCTCAATCTAATTCAATTTCCAAAAAAAAATTGCGAAACGCTCCGAAAGAAGTTTTTCTTTAAAAAATGTATAGCAGGCTGTCGGAATCATTAGGTAATATTGAGACATAATGGTTAAAAAGTAAAATGAATACAAAGTAAAAACGGATGATCGTACATTGATGTAGATTCTACATCAATATTATCTAATATTTAAATGTAATTTTCTTACATATATACAACTAAATATAATTATAATTATTCATATTTGTTTCCTCTCTATACTTCTAAATTAGTTCTGCAACGTATGATCTCTTATTTCTATATTTATATTTTACTTCAATGCACAGCGGATCTACGGGGGGAGGAGGGGGAGGAGGTCTTTCGGGCTGAAGCCCTCCCCCCCAAAAATGGTAGAATATAACCGTGTTTTACAGAAAAAAATATTAAAAACTATCTCTTAAAGTATTCTTGTTAGTGTAATTACATTTAATAGGACTTCAAGAACCACTAAAACACCATTTTATAAAGGTAGTTAATTTCTTTAGTTCTTTTTTCTAATTAATTATTATTATACGTATATGAAAAAAAAATCTTTCGAGCTGAAGCCCCCCCCCCCCTAAAAAGAATTATATCCTGGATCCGCTACTGCTTCAATGTACATTTTACTTTTTTCATTTTTGTTTTTATTCATATTGGACTCCTATCTATAATTTCTTAATTCTATTTTTTATGTATATGTATATATTTATAACTTATTATTTCATAGATATAGTATTTTCCCTTGTATACATCCATATCTTCAAATTTTACTTACTGTAATTTTCTAGGTTCTTATTTTTTTTATTTATTTATTTTGTTTTTTTACTTTTACTACTTACCATTACCCTCACCATAGCAGATGAACAAATTTTCCCAATACCTACCCTTATCCTGGTTTTTTAGTTCTAAGTGAGACTCCTTTTTGAACACATCTGTAAGTCTCTATTTTTATTCTACTGATTGTATTTACTTAATTTTTTTTTCCTTCTTCTTTTTTCTTCTCTTTCCATGTCCATTATTTCATATTATATCCTTGTTCAGTGTTTCAACTGCCTCCCGCAGTGCCACATCCTTACGCCCTGAAGACGACCTGCAAAGTGGGTCGAAACGTCGGCAAAAATTAAAATTATTTATATATTTTAATTTTTTTTTATTTATTTGACCGCACCCTCGACTAACTCCTTCTCATATATCCTTGTTCCTTTTCTTCTAATCTCTCCTGAAGATAGAAGTATATTCACAATTACATGTATATTATTTTCTTAAACTACAACAATTGTTACCATCTATTTACTTCAGTTTAGGACCATGCAACTTAGCTTACTCTATTTATACAACTTATTGTTCTTAATATTTTAATGTTCTTAATGTTTATAATTTTAAAAAGTTTATTCACATTGGTTATCATTTCTTTTTTCTAAATATGATGTAACTTCCACAATTCTCTATACCTTTTTGTATCTTGTCCGTTCTTGCCCTGAAGAAGACCTGCAAAGTTGATCTGAAACGTTGGCTTTTAAAAAATAGTTTTTCCACTATTTAGTTTCTTTATGACCGTCACCCCGGATCATCTCCTTCTTTGTTAATTTATTTACTTCTTTTTCCTATTTTTGTTTGTACTGCTCCCCACCTCATTGATATAGCATATTTTTAATTTCCTTCAATATCCAATAATACTTTGGGACAGACATCTATATCTCCACTGACGATAACACAGTTCTTTTTTATCAAGATAATCTGTTTCATCCATTGCCTCAAATATAATATATATATTTTTAAACTTAATTTCTCCACACACATCTGTCAGGACTATTGACGTTAAGCCTGCTGCGGTTTAAAGTTTTTCGGCTATTAGAGGTTTTCCTGAACTAGGGGAGAGGGTGAGGAATTAATACAGTGTTAAAAGCACAGGGCACCGGGAATCGAACTCGTTAATTTATCAGGTTTCGAGAAATACGTGTTTTCACTCGCTTTAGCCCGCTCGGCTACCCCACCCTCTCAACCTAATGGTTATTTAATTCGTTGATACAAGTGGTAGGTGAAAAAAACTTTCATTAAAGAGTGATTTGACATTGGGTTCATTATATTTTGTGATCAGTAGAGAGCACAGTATTCTAGGCCACAGAAAATATTAATTGTTAGTGAAAATGGTACCGAGCGGACTACATCCAGTAATGGTATTCGATTTTATTATATCGTTACTTAATAACTGTTACCAGAAGTAACTGCAATAACTAAACTGGACCAGCATTTTTTCGAACGTAGGAAATCAAATACTCATAAAGAACTCGAATAACCAACGTGTCCGTATCAGATTGCAATTTATTGGCTTGACAACAGATAATTATCCTTTCATCTAATTGGACTTACGATCTGAAAAAATGCGCTCGAACTGCTTTATTTTGATGAGATCTGAAAAAATCTGTTGCGCGCAGCACATAACTTTCACTTAAAGCTCTACTTTGGTTTGCTGGTGTTCCTCAAGGTAGTATCCTAGGTCCTATCCTTTATACAGTTTATACAGCTGACATCCCAACCCATTCCAACACTGTCATCACCACCTATGCCGATGACACATGTATCCTATCAGTCAATAACGATCCATCTATTGCATCCCAAACTCTTCAATCGCACATCTTAAGTCTTGAAAAATGGTGTCAAAACTGAAGGATTAAAATAAACTCCAATAAATCCCATCAAATTACCTTTACTCTTCGTCGTAAACCTATGACTTCCTGTCCTACAGTATCCTTTAACAATACTCCACTTATCCCTGTTGACCAAATCCGATACCTAGGACTCCACCTTGACAAACGACTCACTTGGAACCCCCATACCAGACGAAACGACTAGAAACCGCCCGACGTTTCCGACTACTCCAGCACTTACTAGACAAACGCTCTAAACTGCCAACTATTTACAAAAGACTCATATATATTACTATAATAAGGCCTATTTGGACTTACGGGATCGAGCTTTGGGGCTCTACTAAACCATCAAATTACTCTCGTATCCGATCCCTACAATCCAAAATCCTTCGTAAAATCCTTAATGCTCCCTACTTTGTCACAAATAAAATCATCCATAATGACCTTAATGAACCATATGTTTCCAATTTAGCTCAATCCAGATACCTGTCCTTTCATAATAAACTTCTGAACCATCCGAACCCTCTCGTTTCCAACCTTGCTTCCTCTTCTATTCCTGATAACCCTCCGAGTCGTCTAAAAAGAAGATGGCCTCGGGACCTTCTAATATAGAAATATAATTGGAGTGCTACCAATGGGTAGTTTCTCCTCATGTTGTACATGTCATATTACTTGTTCATATTTACTTGTTGTATTTATTATTAATTACAGTTGTAAATTTCGTTAATAAAAAAAAAAATAAAAAAAACTTTACTTTGAATGGAAATTCTTTTCTGGCATTGCTGGGCTATTATAATTTTTTTTTAAG